ATTTATTCTATCAGGCTTCTTACATATAAAAATTTCTTTCCATATTAAATTGCATAACTTATGTCTATTTTACTGACTTTAAATATATATTTTTTATTAACTTGAAATTATCGTAAATAAATCGTATTATACATACATATAACAATGCATTTATATATTTGTATAGAAGCGCAATAGCTGAAATGAAACCCAACCACACATTGGATGTAATAAATCACACCAAACATAAGCAGTAGGAAAATTATTATAAAAAACAAAGAAACTAAGATTAAAGATTTGTAAAATATTAAATAGATAATAAATCTTAATGTATAGAAACACACACACGTGTGTGTATGTGTGTTACGGCAGTTAGAAATTTAGTAAAGAAGTTAAATAAATTGTACCTATCTAAAGTCTTTGTTGTAAGGTTTTAATAAAGTAACACGTAACACGAAAGAGAATCACTGAACTGAATGCTCACTAAACTGTTTTCTTTTGCTGAATACAGCCAATTACAGCATCTTTTTCGGCGCGCCGCATTAATTTTCAGCGGCGGCGGCGTTCGGCGAAAATTTCAAGATCGGCGGCGGCGGAATCGGCGCATGATAATTTACCGGCGGCGGCGGCGTGGCGCGGCGGCGCAAGGGTCTATGTATGAGTGTGCGATCCGCTCGAATTATGAATTCAGCAGATCGTCGGCGTATCAAAAACGGCGGATCGTCTGTGATTAGTCGCAGAGTTCGATACGCTTGATACGCGCGTATCGCAATACGCGCCATGGGACGTCACCCTGAGTCACATGTTATGGCTACGTTCTAATATTCACAGCCAGTACTAAAAATCTATAGTTTACGTCACATGCACTATAGATTTTCAGTACTGGCAGTGAATATTGGAACGTAGCCTATATGTATAATGACGGCTGACAAAAGATAGTTGCGTATCGGATCTACGCAGACAAAGAAAGAAAATACTCCGCAATTTTCTCTTGGCTTCTGCACACAGGACGCGGAAACGCTTGCCGCGCGGCAAAAGGCGACGCGGTAGCCAATCAACTTACAACTTTTCCATTAGAGCGAAAAATTGATTGGCTACCGCGTCGTCTTTTGCCGTGCGGCAAGCGTTTCCGGGTCCTATGCAGGGCTGTGTTCCGATTCCCCACCCGGGTGCACCCAGACACCCAGAGAGCGTTCAGATTCCTCCCAAGTGCTCTCGCCGGACTCTCAAGTGAGACGTTCAAATTGTCACTCTATTCACCCGGGAGAGCGTAAAAACCACCC